AATACTGCTTTCTAGACGAGTTAAATCTATCCTCTTTCGATATTTGTATTCGGTAACAGATGCAACTGTGCTTGTTGATCTGCATATCTGTCTTAAGAGCTGATCCTTGTTTTTACTCTAATCCAAAACACAAGTTGGGAGAAGAAAATATGCTACAATATGGGGAAACTTTATAACCAGGTTGTAAAACATAGCGGTACAGTTGGAAAAAATACCCTAAATGCAGAGACTGATGTTATGCATCAGTGTTGCAAGGGGAAGGGAAAGAACAAAGCACTTCCCCTAGTCGGAATGCTGTTTCAGCCCCACTATGTGCGCAGGAGGGGTTGAAGTCTTGGCTCCCGCACTTGGGGAACTTTGCCAGTGACTGAAGAGGAGCCAGGACTGTACCTTGCTTGGGGTGATGGGCTTGTATGTACCTACAGAACTTGTCTGTCAAAGTCAAGATCATTTAGACAACAGTACACTTAATAGGCACTTGATTTCCTGACTTGTGTACATAGTTATAGAAGTAGGTCATATAAATGTAGCTTCATGTGAAAGTCTTTTTCCAGTGAATTTTTTGAAATAGGTGCTGTTTCTCAAATTAAGAGTTTATGTACTTGAAGTTGGATGTATGATAATCTCTGGTATCCCACGTTGTTGTAAGCCACACCTAGTTCCTCGGCTACTCAAGTTTCATTTGTACACTTTAAGGTTTCAGTCAAAAACCAGATAACTTGTAACTGAACATGCTTCCTGATAACAACAGTTCTTAAGGGCTCTGGCTGTTCATAAAAAATGGTGACAAAACTATATCTGCTGTTTCTTGATCTTTTGTCCAATATGAATGTTTCTATGAAATATTGGCCTCAAAGTGCTTGGACTTGAGAGCATTTTACAAGGCGACTGTTACTGCTTAATAGATGTTTGATTGCAAGACCTTACATAAGTGATATCAATCTGATTTGGGTTGGGAGACTTTTGTGTGAATGTTCTTGACAGGTAACACTTGCACATCTCTTTTTGAAAATAATCTGGAAACTTCATTGCATCTGTAGTGTCTCGTTAAAGCTAGATGTGTTTAGGTAAGATCCATATAGTCTTTGTTTCTTCGTAAGTATGCAGCACAGCCTGTGATCAATGAAATTCCCTCTGGTTCCTGGCACTTACCTATTTGAAATGTTGAATCAAGATAGAGTGACCCTTGTATTTCAAATGGGAATATTTTAGTCCTGTAGCTGGTGGTCTGAGGCTTTGTTTCCAAAGCCACCACTGGAATCCAGGAGTGCTTAAAGCTTTTTCCACCTACCCTTTCACAAAAGGTGTGCTGTGATACAACTGAGCTTATCTAACAGCCAGCAGTTTCCAGAAGGTACAGTCCCACTCAACTGTGCATTCCT